CGAATAGTTCAAAGTTAGGAAAAGTACAGTCTGAAGAATAGACAATATTTCAAATTTAGGCACTGAATGGTTTAACTTCAGACCAATAGAAAAACAAACTTTATAGGCCTGAGAAACTAACTGTAGATCGAATGTGAAGCATTGATCTTTTCCCTGGTCTATGTAATAGTTTGAAGAATGAGATCTAAGCCAAATTGTCATGTGTCCGTCCAATTTTAAGGCCAATTCCATCCGCTGTTATGATTAGGCTTATTCGATTCGAGGCATAGTAAACGATATCACTTGAAAAATAAAAAAAACAGAGTCTTAGCTTTACATTCAGTTATAGATTGAAAGAGGAATGTCGTAGAGCATGCACAAATCTCCCATCCCCTTCCACGACCTTTGGCCTCGAGAGAGATTTCTTCTTCTTCGTTCTTAACTGTAATTGTGGATATCCACCAATACTATTAACTAATACTTTTCAACAAGTTAAGGGCTTTCTGGCCATTTACTCCTATTTTAGCCAACTTTTCTTTCTGGATTTGCTTCCATAGCCATTGTCCATCTAAGAACAACCAACAAGGCAGCAGTTGTTTGATTTTGGGATTTTTCTCTCCTAGATGGGTCGCCAGCTATCGAGTCTCATTTGCACCAATCGACGGGGATAATAAACTACATATACCAGTGGCGTAGCGAGGTCGGGTGTCACCCCAGTAGCGACCTTTCCCGGGGACAAACTTTCAATTTTCGATTTTCACCCCCCCCCCCCCCCCTCGAACTTTCGATTTGCACCACCCCCTCAAACTTTAGATTTGCACCCCCCCCTCTCACATTTTTCTCTATATATTTTGCTATTTTTTTGCCTTGGTGTCACCCCCCTAAATGGTATTACTCGGTGCGGTCCGAACCCCCCCCCCCCCCCCCCCGCTACGCCTCTGACATATACCAAGGCCTGTTGCCTCATACAAGACCAATGCTGTTATACAGTTATGAAAGATATCTCGATCCTCAGCTTTTTTTTTCTAAGACTCTGTTTTTTATTTTTCAAGTGATATCGTTTACTATGCCTCGAAACGAATAAGCCCAATCATAACAGTGGATCAATGTGGCCTTAAAATTGGACGGATACAAGACAATTTCTGTCCTGTCTTGCAGCCCCCCTTAGCTATAGCAGGGTTGTCGCGTGCCCGGTTGAGAAAGAAGTGTTGGCAACCCTTGCCCCATCAACTAATTTACTAGAGAAACATGAACATATAAACCCTTGAACACAAATTGTGTCTCCATCGTTTTAATCTTCAAAACAAACCAAACAAATGTCAAGTAATCATTGTTTTATTCGATAAATTTAAGCAACGATTACATCATTTATTTAGGACAAATGCTCCTGTTGTTTTTAAATGTTATTCAATTTGTCTTACACTTTTGGTAATGGGTCTATTAAAAACCTTAAAGGTCATGTTTAAATAATTTATTTAAAAAATTATTTCTTTTTCTGAAGCTTCAACGAACTCTTGTATTTTATCACTCAGGAAAAAAATTGTTAATATTTTCCCTACTGAAAAAATTCACCAATTTTTTTTCCATTAAACCTATAACACGATAACCTCACAATTCAAGAAGCAATTACATTTTCGAACTCTTTTTTTTTAAAGTGTAACAACATACTTTGTATTCGCTTTCAACTTCGAATCATATTAAAAGCTGACAACATTACGAAATGAAAATAATTTTCAAATTTTCAGAGATTGGAATTTCCAATCTATTTTCGTGGTCGTGTAACGCTATATTCAACAAGTTATGGGATCCACCGTCGTTTACTGAAAGTAGTATGCTCAGAAATCACTTTGTTTTGAAAAAATGGTCATATGATAAATTAGTCGTATTTTGGTATATAAATGTCAAGCAACCTTGCAGCGATTGACCTTTAAACGTTTATAAAAACAAAGTTTATTAAAATATATCTATATATACATACATATATATGTATAAATATATATGTATATATATATATATATATATATATATATATATACGCAATATTATACATATATATATATATATATATATATATATATATATATATAGAGAGAGAGAGAGAGAGAGAGAGAGAGAGAGAGGGAGAGATGTATCAAATTTAGTTTATTAAGCGAATGTTAGCATACAAAAACGGTGACATTGAACATAATTCGTGACCCAGATTGTGGAGACATTGTTTCTCAACAGTTGATTAAATATTGCACAGCGAGCTGTCCTTGTCTTTTGTTTCTGTCTGTCGAGGCTTTAGCACAAAGTTTTTTTAATAAATGTCAATACACTGCTCGTGTTTTGATTTATTCACGAGCTATGGAATGTCGTTGATATTGTGACGTTAATTGCGCAAAACGTGGTCACAACTAGACCATATTAAAACGTTGTATTGTAAACCGTTGTATTGTAAAACGTTGTATTGTAAAACGATGTATTGTAAAACGTTGTGTTGTAAAACGTTGTATTGTAAAACGTTGTATTGTAAACCGTTGTATTGTAAAACGTTGTATTGTAAAACGGTGTATTGTAAAACGTTGTATTGTAAAACGTCGTATTGTAAAACGTTGTATTGTAAAGCGTTGTATTGTAAAGCGTTGCATTGTAAATCGTTGTATTGTAAAACGTTGTATTGTAAAACGTTGTGTTGTAAAACGTTGTATTGTAAAACGTTGTATTGTAAAACGTTGTATTGTAAAACGTTGTATTATAAAACGTTGTATTGTAAAACGTTGTATTGTAAAACGTTGTATTATAAAACGTTGTATTGTAAAACGTTGTATTATAAAACGTAACTGTAGTATTGAAGCTATCATTTTAATGTGACATATCTATTTAGTTGACAAAATAAACTTTACTTTTGAATAACAATGTTTCACAGGGAGTACGCCCTACATTTTTGACTAAACAATTTTCATTTCAGAACGAAGTTAACTTTTTGACTGATCATATTTTAGCGTAATTAACTTTCAGACGGACCATTTTTTTTTTAAATTAATTTAACTTTTTGACTGCAAAAAATACTTTTCAAACGAAATTTACTTTTTGATTGTCCATCCTTTGACAAATTAAGTTAAATTTTTTACCAACCTTTCTTTTTTAAATGAAGGTAAATTTTTGACAGATCATTTTTCAACATAATTAACGACCTTTTTTTTTTTCAAAAGAAGTTAATTTTTAAAACTGCTCATTTCTTTAAAAAGAAGTTACCTTCTTGACTGCATATCCTTTTCAAAATGATTTTAGACCGATCATTCTTTATCAATCAAAGATAACATTTTTTCTCAACCGTGCTTTATGAAATAATTTTTTTTTACTGGCGATTATGTTTCAAACAAATTTAACCTTGCTTCACAGATGAGTATTTTTGGACAGAATTCCCCACAAATTAGTTAACAAAAAGGGCGCATAACCAGTTGACACGTATACTTAATTGTGTTGGAGGTGATCCCTTCCAACACTAAAATTAAGAACGAAAAAGAAAGAAGAAGTTTCCAAAAAAAACAAAAAATAGTTGATAGGTTAGAAAGGAACTACTAGAATAACTCTAATCTTAACTCGCGTTTCCACCCAATCCACTGTACCTCCCCCCCCCCCCCCCACCATCCCCCTCCCCTCACCAAACTTTAACTACCATCCACTATCAGACGGTCAAACACACGACAAGTAATCAGCTAATGCAACACGCCATTAAGCCCTACCTCTAACATTACGATCACCGAACTTGAACTGGAGTCCATGTCAACATATCTCCCCCAACGATATCTTTCATCACATTTACAATGAATCCGTGCACATGTTAGTCGATCTAATTGGATTTTAATAATTAATGGCATGCAATTTCTGAATGGGTACTTTGTTCTTTCGATCTTTAATTCCATGGGAGTGGGTGGATGTTTTGGGACGTTTGAGTGATTTGTAATATTTTATTGATGGTAGATTTCTTTTTACTACCACTACTAGATTACTTCACAATATATACATGGTTGTGTTGGTAATATATATAGTTTTTTGGTGAAGTACGGGTTAGGTTAAATACGTCAAAATTTGGTTACGTTGAGGTGGTACTATTATTTTCAGAATTAAACTGTGTTTTTAAGGGATTTTATTGTAAAATTTCAATTTAATTATTTGATTTTTCGATCTATTTTGCTCAAACAAAAACATAATATTATTTATTTCTACCTGTACACCGACGTTCTTTTAAAACATGGGCTAGTATTTCTTTACTATTTTAAGCATAGTTTTCTGTAGTTAAATGCTCCATTTTAGCATGGATTAATTGCTTTTTAAAATCATAAACTATTTAGGCTTATCCATCGATTAGGGTCTTGTCTTGTGTTTAGCAATTACTGCTCTTTTAAGTAGTGTACCGTTTTTCAGCAATGTTCTATTTTCAATATTGTCCTGTTAACAACAAAAACTACACTTTCCAGTAATGTCTGGTGTTTTTAACAACGTTTTTAGAAATGTCCCGTGTTTTCGGCCAAAATCGCTCTTTTCAGTATAATCATGTGTATACATCACTGTTGTGTGTTTTCAGCAAAGTCCAAGGTTTTCAGAAATATCTTCACTTTTCAGCACTGTCCTCTGATTTTTAGCACTGTCCTGGCCCCAACTTACCGGTCTCGGCATCAGCAGACCTAAGCTTGTATTGTCACCTGTCTTCCCCACTTCCCTACCCAACCTTACCACGCCTACCATCGACAAAGCTACACCTGTATTACCACCTGTCTTGCCCACTATCCTGCCCCTCCTTACCACGCCTACCACCAACAAACCTACACCTGTATTACCACCTGTCTTCCACACTTCCCTACCCCTCCTTAACAAACCTACACCTGTATTACCACCTGTATTACCACCTGTCTTGTCCACTGTACAGCCCCACGTTACCAATAGACCTGACCTTATATTCTCACCTGTCTTCCCCGGTGTTCTACCATACATACCACCAACATACCTGACCTTATATTCTCACCTGTCTTCCCCAGGTAACGGCAAACGATCGGACCCCAACATGAGCCAAGATACAGAACTCCCGGCCAGCCTACTTAAGACGGTCCTGATATCTGACGCCCAGAAGCTCAACAGAATGTTATCTGTAAGTCTGATTGTGTCTTACTTCTTCGTTCTTAATATTCTTTTCATTCTTATGTGTTACGATTTACGTTTTTTTTTCAAATATCTGTCTTTGCACTTTCTGAGTGTAACATATACAAACTGTGACTATGTGCGTAGGCTTATCAACCTATTCCGGCACCCGGAGTGAAGAGTGAATTTCGCGCCTCCTCTCCTATTCGTATATCGTCATTAATTTTTAGTCATTAATGATAACCCTGTCCATAAAAATATTTTTAAAATTTAAAAAACAAATGTTACACTTTTGAACCTGATGGTCAATGGGGCAGTAGAACAAGGGTTCACTTGTTTTTCCGACCTCGGCATATGAAGGGATAGTAGGGACAGCACTATGCCCAGACGCCTTTATTTTCACTAAAGTGAGTCAGGTACCCAGTAGAGCTGGATGGACTCAGTGACATTCTGCAGACACAAGTCAGTACTTAACCTTTCTCTAGTCATGAGACCTAACTCCGTCATCCACCAAAACTAGCACAACAAATGACAACTACTGCAGTCAGAGTTTCTTCCAGGCATCTCTTCGGGGGAGGGGGGTGGCGAAGGAAGTCTACTCCCCCACCCCACATTTCCCGCCCCCCCCCCCCCCCCGGAAAATTTAGTCCGCTCCCCTCCCCGAAAATATCAAGTGCCCACCCCCTCCTCCTCGCCCCGGAGAAAAAAGTCTGGAATAAACACTGACTGCAGTGCTCCACCAGCGATCCCAGAAATACCCACAAACTGCACTGGACTCTAATCCTCATAGACCACAATACAACGACCGATTTTTTTTTTTTAAATTGATCAACCACAATCAATACATGTTTGGCTGTGCAATTCCCGGCTAATTTCATAAAGCAGGGGAAGAAAAAAACTTAATCAATCACGACAAAGAAAAAAAAAATAATAAGATAACCGCATTAAGAAAAATCGAAATCTCCAAGTGTAAACAAGTCTCCTTAAGTCTTGTTGAATGCATGCTGTGTTGAACAGAACGCTGGCCCGGCAAGGGTTAAACAAACGACGTCGCAGTTCATCTGGCCGACCGTAAACCTCGCGAGGTATGCCAATACTTAAAAGCGCAGAAAGAAAGAAGAAAAATTTGAATACGTTTTTGACAGGCCCCCAAACAATACAGAGATTAGCCAGTGTTTAGGGGGAGGAGTGAGGTTGTGAGATAGAGACCACGATTACTAATCTTAAGAGTCTCGAGCTCGACTCATAAATTAGAGCAGGTACACAATTTTTGAGTCGACCCAGCTTTGATGAGTACCTGACCCTATTTAGGGAAAGAATATCTGGCACATTCTACCCTCAACCCCCCCCCTCCGCTCATTATTTCTCCTACCCCCAATCGTAATCAGCGTGGTCAAATAGGGCTGGTAAGTAGGTCACCACCAGCTCTACGGCTCAATAAAACCTGCTTGAACCATATAACTGGTTGGTGACCTACTTACCAGCCCTATTGTTGAGCGTTAAACTGCTAACCCGAAAGTCTAGAGTTCAGATCCCAGGCTCAAGTACACAGTTAGTCCCTAAGTTCTCCCAGCTCTGATAAGTACGCGAATCACGTTATGAAAATTAAAGGCGGATGTTCAACGTCGTGACCACACTATCCCTCCACATACCGTATTCACAGAAACGAGCAAACTCTACTTCACCTACACCATGGACCGTAAAGTGCATGTTGTTTTACGCCAAAACCACAACACTTGTCTCTTTAATTTCGGTTAGAATTCTGTCAAACCCCCCCCCCCCAACCAGATGTCCCGCGAGAAACTAAAATCACGCGTGTTTTGATCTCTAGCAGGAGAACGAGGCCCTGCCAGATGAGGCCTCTCAGCCAGCCTACCCCTACGACGACACCGTCTCGAAGAACGACTACGATTACAACCAACAGCTCAACAGGATCACGCCAGAGATCAGGAACCTGCGGAAGTACCTGGAGGCTTTGGTGAGTACTGGGGGCTTTGTTGAGTAGTAAGGGGCTTTGGTGAGTACTGGGGGCTTTGTTGAGTAGTAAGGGGCTTTGGTGAGTAGTAAGGGGCTTTGGTGAGTACTTGAGGCTTTGGTGAGTACTGGGGGCTTTGGTGAGTACTTGAGGCTTTGGTGAGTACTGGGGGCTTTGGTGAGTACTTGAGGCTTTGGTGAGTAGTAGAGGCTTTGGTGAGTACTGGGGGGCTGTGTTGAGTAGTAAAGGGGTTTGGTGAGTACTGGGGGGGGGGCTTTGTTGAGTAGTAAAAGGCTTTGGTTAGTACTAGGAGGCTTTGGTGAGTACTGGGGGCTTTGGTGAGTAGTAAGGGGCTTTGGTGAGAACTACTGTACTAGGGGGCTTTGGTGAGTACTGGGGGCTTTGTTGAGTAGTGGGGGCTTTGTTGAGTACTGGGGGCTTTGTTGAGTAGTAAGGGGCTTTGTTGAGTACTGGGGGCTTTGTTGAGGAGTAAGGAGCTTTGGTGAGTACTATGTGGCTTTGTTGAGTATTATGGGCTTTGTTGAGTACTATTGGGCTTTGGTGAGTACTATGCGGCTTTGTTGAGTACTATGGGCTTTGTTGAGTAGTAAGGGAGGGGCTTTGGTGAGTACTAGGGGGGCTTTGGTGAGTACTGGGGGCTTTGTTGATTAGTAAGGGGCTTTGATGAGTACCTGGGGGCTTTGGTTAGTACTGGGGGCTTTGTTGAGTAGTAAGGGGCTTTGGTGAGTACTAAAGGCTTTGGTGAGTACTGGGGGCTTTGTTCTGTAGTAAAGGGCTTTGGGGTGTACTATGGGGCTTTGGTGAGTACTAGGGGGCTTTGGTGAGTACTGGGGGCTTTGTTCTGTAGTAAGGGGCTTTGGTGAGTACTAGGGGGCTTTGGTGAGTACTGGGGGCTTTGTTGAGTAGTAAGGGGCTTTGGTGAGTACTGGGGCTGAATACTAAAGGGGCTTGGTAAATATTTTAACTACCTGGAGGCTTTGATGAGTATTAGGGTGCTTTGGTTGGGGTTTTAACTAAAGGAGACTGTTGAGTACTAGGGGCTTTGGTGTGTGCTGAGGGCGATTCTTAATACTTTGTTGGTTACGGGAGAGCTTCGGCGAATGTTTTGACTGCCTGGAGGCTTTGTTGAATACTAACGGACTTCTGTAGATGCTAGATCTACCTTAAGGCTTTGTTGAGCTCTAGAGAGATTTGTTGAATACTAGGGGTTTTGGTAAATGTTTAACTACCTAGAGGCTTTGGTAGGTACTAGGAGAAAGAAAATGTAACTATTTTGGGCCATGTTTCAAATGTCTAAGGATTTAGTCATTGTTTTAGGTACCATTTATTCTTTTGGCATTTTATTAAGAACCTGAGTGTTTTGTAGTGAGTACCTTATGTTTATGTAAATTCCATTGATGTTTTGGTCCGTTTTTTATATACCCGAGTGATAGGCTGGGTGTTTTGAGTATCTGCGCATGACCGGAAGTAAGATGTTTAGACACTTGTAAAATGTAGTCAGTAATTTAATGGCTGGGGTCGAATACGTTAGTTTGTGTAGGTTTTTGAAAAACTTTGACCAGTTTAAGACATAACTAACGTGAAATTTTATATCGACTTTATGGCATATGTAGAACCTTCTTAATAAATTTACTTTGTTTAAAACTTTCAAATCGTGATTTACTCACAAATAAACATCATATGTATGACACAAAGTTGAGCTTTAAAAAAAAAAGAATTACTACACGATTTTAGCTTAAAATGAAAATTGGGTCGTTTCAAAATGGTCAGGAAGACGTTTCACATTCAAAAGTAATGCATCAAAAATGTCGTCTCATATTACAATGTCTATATCTAATCATATTTCGAAATATCATTGATTGCGCTATTTTTTATTAGAATTTTTTTCTGCACAGAAAAAAATAAACAGCGCTACCATTAAAACGTGAATAGCTTCCAAACAAAACAAAAATTAAAAATCTCCGTCGTGTAAGAAACGAAACAAAAACTGTCATTAGATAAATAAAACATTGAAAGAAATAAACCGGTAGTGATCTCCCCTAAACTTTCTCGAATATTCTTATATAAAACAACAGGGGATGGTAACTGGGGATATAGTTATGATTTTTAATCCATTTCAAATACTGAAACTTTTAAAAATAGAATAGAATCTCAGTAAAAAACAATTGCGCACCAAGCGAACGCCTAATAAAGGTGTGTATAATAGTGCGCAATAGTATTAGTACTTAATAAATTTACATTAGTTTTTTGAGAAATCGGAAGTAGCGTAAATTACTACTTCCGGTCAACGGAAATTACTCAAAATTTAACAGAAGGTAGAGAATTAGATCTTTTACTCACATGTGAAATTTCATTTATCTATCTGAAATAGTACTCAAGTTATAGGCTTTTGAAAAATTCAAAGTAGAATAAGTACCACTTCCGGTTATCGGAAATCGCTCAAAAGTTGATACGGATCTACGATTTTGATATAATACTTATATATGAAATTTCATCAACCTAGCTGTAACGGTACTCAAGTTATCGTGTTTACACACGGACACACACACAGACACACACACACAGACATACGGACAAGATTGCAAAATTATGTTTTTCCGTATCAGTGAGGTGTAAAACGTCGAGATTTGTAAAAATCTCGATTTTTTTTTTTGCACGATTACAATACTTTCTCTATACTACGTATATACGAGAAAGGAAAAAATGGAAGAATAATTAGGTATTTTCAATGTAGAAAAAATTAATGACGCTTTATAGCCAAAACTGTTAGCTAAAGACAGAAGTATTTACTTACAATTCAACTGATTTTAGTATCTTTAACTGTCATGTGTTCAAGTTTGATTGCGAACGTCTGAAAGAAACAAATATTTTTAAACCAGGTTTATAATGCACGGCTATCTCAAGACTATGTTTTTATAAAATAAAATAAAAAGAATATTCTCAAGTTTTTAGTAAATATCATATTTTAGATACATATTTCAATATCAGATGTCCCATCTTAAACCCGTATCACACATTTAATTTGATATTTTATCCTACAGTGAACAGACACACGTTTCACAGATATCCCATCCATCCAACAAACAATACCCATTATAACGATGTAAAGTTGACATTTCATACTTTATAGAGCTTTGACCGTGCCAAATAAAAGACAGTATAATTATAATATTTTTTGATATATTATTTGACATACATCGCTCACACAAACTACTTTTAAAAATTTTGTAATATCACTTGAAATATTATTTGACATACATCGCTCACACAAACTACTTTTAAATATTTTGTAAAATCACTTGATATATTATTTGACATACATCGCTCCCACAAACTACTTTTAAATATTTTGTAAAATCACTTGATATATTATTTGACATACATCGCTCCCACAAACTACTTTTAAATATTTTGTAATATCACTTGATATATTATTTGACATACATCGCTCACACAAACTACTTTTAAATATTTTGTAATATCATTTGATATTTCATTTGACATATATCGCTCACACAAATTACTTTTAAATATTTTGTAATATCACTTGATATATTATTTGACATACATGGCTCACACAAACTACTTTTAAATATTTTGTAAAATCACTTGATATATTATTTGACATACATCGCTCCCACAAACTACTTTTAAATATTTTGTAATATCACTTGATATATTATTTGACATACATCGCTCGCACAAACTAGTTTATGTTTCCATCAAAATCAATTAGAAAATTCAATATTACACTGAATGGACGTTTAGTATTCTATAATACATAGACAACGTTCCCGTTTTTAATAGTTTAATTCGCTAAGAATGCTATTTGAGATATTTAAAATTGCTCTTTATGCAGACTTTACCAATAATTATCTATCTATATAATTCTCTACGTTGCCCAACCATGCGTTGTCGAGTCGGTAAAGCTCATGGTTGCTATTCCGAAAAGTCTCGAATTCGAACCCCCGGGCAGATGAGGCTCGTTAGCTCGGGACAACCACTCTTCTAGGAGAGACAACTCCAAAATCAAACAACTGCTGCTTTGTAGTTTGTTCTTGGTTGGACAAAGGCTATGGGAGCAAATCCAAAAAGAAAAAGCAGGCTAAAATCGGAGTCAATGGCCTCAATGGATCATCCTTGACACGTAATCCTTAATTGTGTTGGAGGCGTGGTCGAGTCGGCAAAGCTCATGGTTGATAAATTCAAAAAAAAAAAGTCTCGAGTTCAAACCCTCTGGCAGATAAGGCTCGATCCCTTCCAACACTAAAAATTAAGAACGAAGAAGAAGCCCAACCACGCGGGACACAACGCACAACCCTCCTCCCACCCCTCCCTCGCTCTCCAAGCATGCGCAACAGTGTATGCCCACCCACACCATTTGGACAACTGTGTCTTTCAGAAAGTCTTCACCCCGTAACTAAATAGCAGGGCATGCAACGCCGCGGGTTGGCTCGTATACAAAATTAGACGTATAGTATAGTGCGATGTAAGAACTCTCTATCGGGATATTGTTGAAATATTTTAGTGTTTAGTTTATACTCTTTTTAACACGGGACGGCGTGGGAAAAGTTGAGGAAAGTAAAGACGGCTAGGTAAAATGCTGACCACACCTTTCTTTCCTTATACCGAGGTCAAGAAACGTATGAACTGTACTATATTAAGCATCTGCTCGATGGATTGATAGATTTAAAGAAGATTCTTTTTGTAATAGGACTACCGTAGGAAATCCAAATGTATAATGCAAAGTAAAAGAAAAATCGTGATGAAAAAGAAAATTACATTGTATTTGTTGTCAATTAATCGTGGGATTATTTTCTAAGCCCCCCCCCCCCCCCCTAATACTCAGATTAAAAGGAACCCTAAAAATAAAGAAATGCGACAAACAAAATCACTAATGTAACAGATGAAAAGATGGCTTCAAAAATGCCATTTAACTTTTAACCTTTGCTTACATCATAACAAAGCACCAATGATGAAAGTCTAGACAATTGTGTCTGAAGCTTTTGAAACATTCAGATTTTACAACAACAAAAAAAAACAAAAACAAAAAAAAAAACTAAATTTACCAGAAAAATTCATTTTGATTGTGTCATACCGTTCAATTTTATTTTTAAAACCCAAAGTCCTATAAAGCTAGTGGTCTTACAGGCTATATTCAACAGCAGTCCATGTGTAGCAGATAAAGTAGAGTTTCTTAATGTGTGAACCCTGCATTAAGGAAGATATAATGAAATCAGTACAATGCCAAGCTGCCTTTATCGATAGATCACAAAGGGTTATGTTTACCACTGACAACAAAAACAAAAACAAAGAAAAAAAATATATCAAAATCAAATGACAGACATCGTATGTATAATTGGTTTTTCTGTAAAAAAATAAATTTAAAAAAAAAACAACTATGCAATATATTCTATACATATCGTTTTCATACAAGGTTTAAATATCTGGGTTGTTATTTACTTTTCTCATCCATTGCGCAAACCACTTAGGCGTTTAAAAAAAAAAATGTCAAATAACGGTATGGGAATGATGTATGGTAAAAACAAATTGTGAAACCTAAAAGAACAATTTTTTTTTTAAATTAAGCGGGTGTGATCTTTCCTAAACTTTCTCGAATATTCTTATATAACACTACGGTGGATGGCAACTCGGGATTTAGACATGATTTTAATCCATTTTTTAATTGCTTAAACTTTTTAAAATAGAATAGAATCTCTAATATAAACAATAATTGCGCACCATGTGAATGACAAACAATATCTGTATAATAGTAAGGAATATTAGTACTTTATAAATTCATATTAGTTTTTTGATAAATCGGAAATAGCGTAAATTACTACTTCCGGTCAACGAAAATTACTCAAAAATGATAGAGGTCGGAGAAATTAGATCTTTTACTTACATGTGAAATTTCATTTATCTATCTAAAACAGTACTCAGGTTATAGGCTATTTTGAAAAATTGAAAGTAGATCAAGTCCCACTTACGGTTACCGTAAATTGCTGAAAAATTGATAGAGAACTACAAATTCGATATAATACTTATATGTGAAATTTCATCAACCTAGCTGTAGCAGTACTCAAGTTATCTTGTTTACAGACACACATAATACACAGACATACGGACAGAATTGCAAAACCCAGTTTTCCCGACTCGATTACTCATAAAACGCCTACATTTTGATAACTCTGGATTTATTATTTTTGCCCGATTAAAATAAGTCCCCTATACTTAGTATTTGATGAAGTACTGTGGTGAAAAACGGTGAAAACTGTCAAAATTTCATGTGATTTTTAGCAGGATTTAAATACTTCCTCTATACTCTGTATATGGGAAAGTAAAAAGCACAAGATATATTTATTTTGACGACAATCAGAAGTGTATTTATGTTTTATACTAGCACGTTTCCATCGCTGGCAATGTATATAATAGACTATGTTGCATCTGTATTTGAAAAATGCGAGGTTGTGTTTTTTGACTGAAAGCAAATCACGGAGACAGTGTTACGAAAGGTAGCTGAGTCTAGCAATATATTTTTGCTCAACACATGTGTGTGAGTCTGAATGATTATCAGATTATAGCTTGCAGTGACGTCACTAGGAGACGGTGTGGAAAGCGGGTTAGGGGTGGGGCGTTACGGAAGGGGGGGGGGGGGTGGTGGGGACACTAAATGGAAAAATCGTAAAATCACAATGTTTATCTTGTTAAAATAAGAATGCAGTAGGGAGAGGGGTTTCACCAAAACGAAAAAGTAAAATTGTTGAAAGTGGTGGGGTGAGACACCCCCAGTTACTCCAAAGTGTGACACCCTACCTAGTGACGCCGCTGTACCTAAGACACATATAAATACATTTTTTTTTTAATTTTACAGATACATTTTGTTTAGTTTTAAATTTTTGTTTTCTTTCCCGTCCGCAGAAAATCCAACATGCCTTGAGAGAAAGCGGCGACGACCTGATTTGACCGGACAGGAGTCGTTGAGCGACGGACACGATAGGTCAGCCAATCAAATCTCACAGCCGCACCACGTGACTTCCTCGTCGCTAGTTTCGTGTCCAGGTTTTTCTGGCCACTCATTTCAAAAACAAATAAAGTATCATTTTAATGCGATTTTTTTTCCCAGCTTTAATTGTGTTGAGATGGTTTGTAAAAATGCTACTGTGAAAGACTAAACCTTAATATTTACCATCAGCTAACATAGAACATATCAAACAATAAAACGAAATAAACACGCTTTTTATCTTTTCGTTTTCTTTACATCTTTAGTAATGTATTTTATATAAAATACTTGTCATCCAAAAAACCAAATTGAAACGAAAAACTAAAAAAAAATATTGTAATGCAAAACCTTAGTATAAAACACATAGACATACTAAAAATGTATCTTTTATTTGGACTTCAGAATGTAAAAGAAAATATTAATCTAAATAATGTCTAGTCGGGGTTGGGTGCGTTACGGATTGGAGGATTTATGATCCTAGTTTTGTGTATGTCATCGAGATATAATGTGCGGCTTCGAGACCAATCCCAACGATGAAATTCTATAGAAGATTGTATTTGACCACGTCGATAAAAACAATAGGTACGAAACTTCTATAAACTGGCTGAAATTAAATACACAAAACGAATAATTCAGTTCTGTGGAATTATAAAATATAAACATCTTAGAATATTCAGCGAAGTAAAACAAATATACATTTGTTTATAACTTTGCCTAGGTTTGTAGACAATGCCATCACTTAGAAGTTAAACAATGACAGATTAAAATAATTCTCATTTGATTCGTTTCTCTACAATTGAATTGGATGAGTGTGCCGGTTTTTGAACAGTTTGAAATGCGACACAGAACTTGTATTTTGTCAGTATTTTCTAAGATAAACGTGCAAACATAAACTTTAAACTTGAACCGATCAGGTCAATGTAAAAGCTAGATAACTGAATTATAAATGTTTATAGCTTCCATTAAATCTTTGAAGTTTTTCAATCCAACGTAGAAAAAACCCGATTGAGTATTATGTTAACATATTATGAGCTAATTAGTTTAAGTGTTTATTTTTCCCATTTCTTTTTCTTGTTCCTTTTTAACTAAAATATTTTAGCTAAATGATTCGCCAATAAACGACATTTATTTTTTGCCAAGTTTTTACCCCATCCATACCCTCCCACAATAGTTATAGACAGAGGCGTAGCGACCCTCCCCGGCGCACGGGGACAAACTTTTGATTTGCACCCCCCCCCCCTCAAACCAAACTTTTGATTTACAACACCCCCCCTCAACCCATTTTGGCGCCCCCTAAGGTCGGCGCCCTGCCCCCCATCGCTACGCCTCTGGTCATAGACCATTACAAACAGACCTTAAAATTACGCCACACATTATGCTAACCTGCTCTCTTTTAAACACACCAAGGATTTGTGTGAGAGTTTTTGTACAACATGTTTTAACATGAGAACAGATGCATTTTTCCACACTCAGAACCAAACAATAGGATACATTTCAAACAATAACGAAGCGAATAATGTAATCGAAGTTGCATTTCTTTTATTTTAAATTATATGTATCGTTTTATTTGAAATGTAAACAAATGGGTACAGCAGTAGAACTAGACTTTTAGACTGTATGAAAGTACGAGTTATCCTTTTGCCCTATACATACATACCTATATACAGCCATTATATATATATATATATATATATATATATATATATATAATATGTATATATATATATATATATATATATGTGTGTGGTGTGGGTGTGTGAGTGAGTGTGAGTGTGTGTGTGTACCCAATGTTATTAATTTTAATCCCTAGAGATAGACATCAAAATGTTTACTACTCCAAATTTCCCATTAATTCAGTCTTGAATTGCGAACAAAGAAAAACAAAAACATACCCACTTAACGAAGAATAGGCTTGAAAAGTCTATGTAAGCATACTAAATTTTTGAAAAAATCTTTTTAAAAATATGGCAAGCGATAAAATTATAGTTACATTTGTAAAAATTAAACCCGTCTGAGAACCATCGATTACACTCATTTTTATATTTTTGTATAAAATATAAGCCGTTGAAAAGCAGTTTAGAATTATTTTATTAATTCAAACAATTTCAAAAACTGCCCTCAACCTCCCCATTGAAGTCAAGCGGAATGGCCAGGGAGAGTAAAATGTTTGAAGTCAGAACAATTGTTTTCCATGATAAAAAATACACAATAGTGTTCAATGGTGTATAGTGTACTATTGTATTTATATTAAATAATATAACATCCCCAATCAACACAGCACCCTGACTTTATTAATCCAATTTTAAAATAAAATTGTTGGCTAAATTACTATTATATTACTAGCAATCATTTCTTTGACTATTTCTAGCCTTAATGAAACCGGAAGTAGTTTTGTACTTATTACACAAACGTTTAAAAATATTCAATTTTGGTTGAAAAATATGCTTTCTGGCAACAAAAATTAGGAACCATTTGAAACCAACTTTTTCAAGTCTATTATCGTTTAAGATTGTAAAGCTTCGAGCAAATGTTTTCATTTCAATATTAATCACAAAATAAATATACTTCACATGTCGTTCTTAAGCTTCTATATCACCCGGACAACAAAATTACATTTTGATTGTATACAAGCAAAGAAAAGAAACAAATAATTAAAGTCTTCAATTTCCTTGAATATTTCTGAGTAACTTTAGTTTGCAGTATTTACCGTACGAAATGTTAACTTCCTTTTCTAATTAAAAACACAGAAATGAAAAGAATAAACCTCTTTATAATGCTTAATAAGTGTCTAATTAATCAATTAATCCGTTGACGTTGATAGGAAATGTTGCTTAATTTATTCTGAAGTGGGCGGTGGGGAAAAAAATGATGATTGAATATTAATGACTAGATTTCAATCTAAGGGCGCCCTAAAGGAATTGTTTTATTTTGACAGGAGATTTATTTAATTATGCAAGCTATTAAAAGAAAATGTTCTCGTTGATTTTGTTAAGCGTGTTGTCTTTTTAAAGTTAAGATGCGCAAACGTAGCATTGCGCACGGGAAGTCGCTCCAGCATGTTTGTTTATTTTGGTTGAGTTGTTTTCGGTGCAAGATTAGCGTGATTGAAAATTCACCAATTGCACTCCATCAATCTTAAGTGCTTAGGAGAGGAAGTTTTTGTTATTAACTACACTTTCTTGACAGAACTTGCCAACGAATGGTCTGTCTTATCAGCCTTACAAATTGCATACATAGAGGGGTTTTTGTTTTATTTTTATTTTTAAAAAAAAGATAAAATTTCGAAGTCCATTTTAAAATTTAAATGAATACTTTATTATACTAAGAATTCAAATAAAAGCAAAAACATGATTTACCGTCTTTTTTTAAATACAAAAATGTGTTATAAATTTTTTTTGAAAAACAAATCTTATTTTGAAAATTGTTTTAAACATGGTATTAAAAACTAGCCTATATATATATGTGTATATATATATATATATATATATATATATATATATATATATATATATATATATATATATATAATTATTTATAAAATAAATACTCAAGAATTGTAATAAATCCGTTACTAACTTTAATTATTCAAAAGTCATGAACAAGCATGAACTAAGAGTCTCTCCTTTAAAATTTAATGAGTTCTCTTATTCTTATCTAAATTTACCCTTCCCCCCTCCACCCCACACACAAATACCCCTAGTCACACCCTTCCTCCCATTTAAATGAGATAGCCTCTCCACCTCCCGAGGTACAGCGTGGCCTAGTGGTACTGCGCTGGACCGCTAACCCGAAAGTCTCGAGTTTGAATCCCCGAGTCAACCCAGCTCGGATGGGTACCTGGCATTCACGCGACGCTAGTGAATGTAAAAGCTGGCTGGGCATAGTTCAGACTAGACTATCCCTTCCTACACCGAAGTCACAGGAACAGGCATACTCTGCTTCATTTGCCTCATAGATCATACGTTCGAAAAAGGAACTTCACTTTTTGAGTCCACATCTCCAATAATCATATTTTGTGCGGCTCTATTCAATAGCCCCTGCATTCAACAGTCCTGGAAATTATTATTTTTTTGCGTTTATATTCCCTTGTGGGTTCCAGTCCAACGCCTGCATCGCGATATTTTCGTCTTGTCTTCTTATGATGGGAGTGATAGATCCCCATTTAAAGGCTGTAATATCTATGTAGGCCTACTGCTGTCTCATGATTTGCCACCTGTGGTCTTAGGAGATTTTTTTCTGGCCATTGTATCATGAGGATACATCGGTTGAATCAGAGGCGTCGCTAGGGGGGGGGGGGGGACCGCACCGGGTAACACCATTTAGTGGGGGGGGGGAGACGACACCAAAACATAATAAACTGGGAGTAATCTCCCCTAAACTTTCTCGAATATTCTAATATAAAACTACGGGGGATGGCAACTCGGGACATAGACAATATTTTTAATCCATTTTTAATTACTTAAAATTTTTATAATTGAATAAAATATCGTAAAAATAAAGAATTGCACACCAAGTGAACGCCAAATAAAATGTGCATAATAGTGCGGGATATTATTAGTACTTTATAAATTCACATGCGTTTTTTGAGAAATCGGAAATAGCGTAAATCACTACTTCCGGTCGACGGAAATTACTCAAAATTTGATAGAAGGCAGAGAATGAGAACTTTTACTTACACGTAAAATTTATCTATCTGAAATAGTACTCAAGTTATAGGCCTTTTGAAAAATTGAAAGTAGAAAAAGTTCCACTTCCGTTTATCGGAAATCGCTCAAAAGTTGATACGGATCTACGATTTTGATATAATACTTATATATGAAATTTCATCAACCTAGCTGTAACGGTACTCAAGTTATCATGTTTACACACACAGAGAGAGAGAGAGAGAGAGAGAGAGAGAGACAGACACACATACACACAGACATACGGACAAGATTGCAAAACTATGTTTTTCCGACTCATGGAGCCCTAAAACGTTGAGATTTGCAAAAATCTCGATTTTTTTTTTTGCACGATTACAAGACTTTCTCTATACTTCGTATATTCGAGAAAGTAAAAATGTTAGATATATAGAATATATGTTTTTTTGCCAGTTCAATGGATGATAAAT